TTAGTATTATTATGAAAACAGTTTTTCCTTTTTTTTTTTTTTTTTCTTTTTTCGTGTCCGGCAATGGATCGCAACCCTCAGTGTCGCGCCCGTACCGGACCGGGACCGGCAACGGGATCTCAACCCTCGGTGTTGTTCCCACACCTCACTCAGCCAGTGAGCGGGAACCGGTCTGCATGTGGGATCCGAACCCTCGGCGGGAGCGCCACCACGTTCCCGAGCAGCGCACTGTAGCAGTGTGCCACCAGGCCGGCCCTGAAAACAGTTTTTAAATAAATAAATAAATGAAAATAGCTGTGGTCTCTCAGACCACCTAAAAGGGTCTTGGGACCTCCCTTGGAGTATAGACTACACTTTGAAAATCAAAACTTTGGAGGAATGAAAATGAGGGTTTCCATCCTTCATCCTTTCACAGAGGAATCTAGAACAGAAGATATGCTCTGTGGGAAGAAACAAAGATGAATTCTCCACATATGTGGGAATAGGCTGCTTCTCCAGCCCTGCAGTGTACAAAATTTAGATACTCTGCATTCTAGCTGGGTCTTGGGACTGAGAAGTAGAAAATGTTCTGCTGAGACCTGAGTGAGGAGCCAGCAACGTAACTTTGAGAGTAACTGTGGGAAGGTGTTCTTACTTCATTAGATCTGCTTTAATTATACGTCCTGAAAGTCATTAGTAGAGTTTGCATGAATGGACAGCAGAAAAATACAGTATTACACAAGTTGGAATTTGTACATCTACCCAGAGAACACAGAGCTCTCAATCTCAGTCTCTATGTACGATTTTCATTTGACAGGAACATTAAGATCACCAAAAGTCATCTTAAGCAAGGTAGAGGCAATTGATTTTACATTTGGAATTGGTGAAATTATGTACCAACCTGGAGAACCCAATCCTTTCGAATGTTGCTTTGAAATGATTAGTATTGCACACTTATACCACCACAACCTCTTGTTTTTTGTTCTGTTTAAGGCAGGGTTTCTCAACCTAGGCACTATCGACATCGTGGGCTGGTTAGTTCTTTGTTGTGGGGGCTGTCATTGTAAAATATTTAACACCATAGCTACCAGTAGCACCCTCTAAGATGACAGTAGTACCTTCCAAGTTGAGATAGCCAAAAATGTTTTCAGACACTGCCAGGTTTCTCCTGGGGGATAAAATACAATTGAGAACCCCTGCCTTAAGGTGATCTAGATTAGTTCTTTCTTGTTTAGCATATGTCTCATCAGACTCTAAGCAGACCTATAGTAAATATGACAACTAAGTTACATGAGCATTCAGAAGTCCCCTCTCTGGCAGCGTCTTTATCTGTCCCTCTTTCTGTCTGCCATTCCTTTTGAACCTACTCATATTTATACATCATTCTCCATGCTTTTTTCCCCCATTGTTAAGCAGATACAATCCAGTGATAACTACTATCCTAATACTAATGTTGTTATTGTTGTCATCATCATCATCTAGATTACCAGCACTAAAGTCAAGTCAAAGGTGTATGTCAGACCATAAACAAGTCTGAGTCTGGATAGCTAAACCTGTGTTTTTGTTTGTTTGTTTGTTTTGTTTTTTTAAGACTGTATCAGTCTTTTTCATTGTGAGTATACTCCCTGGCTTAGTAAAGTTGAATATATCCAGCCATTTTGTATTGAAGTTATGCATTTCCCTGTGCGAATTTAAATGCTAGGCTTACTTGTCCCCGCTTGGGTTGTGTATATTATGTCTGGCAAACCTTTATTTCCCTATGCAGATATGGTGTTGGTCCTGCCACAATGGAAGTGCCCTTCTGAAAATGTCAGCACTGCCCAAAGAACAGGATGATGGCATTTTACAAATCCAGAAGAGCTTCTTGGATGGGTCAGTACTAGTTCTGTGTTTTGTTATTGTTTAGTTCAGTTCTTGTTTTCCAAGAAGCAGGGAACAGTTCTTAGTAGTGTGTCCATTTCAGTTTACCTGCTGGTACCATAGTGCTACGGCAGTACAATTTATAGTGGTCGTTTTAAATTACTTTGCAAGGAATCAGTATAATGTAATCTTTAAGAATGTCAACTGTGTTGTCTTTGGAGATGCATGCTGAATTATTTAGGGAAGAGACGGCATAATGTCTATAATGTTAATAGTTGTCAAATCTAGGTCATGATATATGTCACTGTGCAATGTCTGCTTTTCTGCATGTTTGAAATTTTTCATAATAAAAAATTTAAAAAACCCAAAGTGGATGAATTTAAAACATAAAAAGGAATTAGACTCGAGTTAAATTGCCTTGGTCCAAATCATTGGCTCTATCAGTTTATAATTGATAATCTTGGGCCAGGTAATTCTACTGGGAACAGCAGTCCTGCAGCAGTTAACTCGCTGGTGAGGGTTAAATGGGATGATACCTGCAGAGTTCTTAACACAGATGTGGCACACAGTAAGGCTCAGGAAAAATAAGCTTTCGTAAATTCACATTTGCGTTTCTAATCTCATGTGACTTTTTGATACCTAGAATTTACAAGACCATCCACAGGCCACCCTATGAAGCTGTTAAAACTGAAGACCTATCAAGCAACTTCCTATCCCTGCAGGAAATCCAAGCTGCATACTCCAAATTTAAACAGCTATTTCTGATAGGTGAGAAGAATGCTGAGCAAAAACTTTCTCTCAAATGGGGAAAGACATGCCACGTGGATCAGGTGAAACTGGGTGCCTTTTCCCTGGGTTCCTTGTGATAGTAGACAGGCTCTCTTGAGACCTTGAAGGTCATTGTCGTGGAGTGAAGGGCCAGGAGGTGAGGGTCAGCTGCTATTGCTGTGCTCCCCCTCCCCACCTCTGTCCAGGCTTCCCCCACTGCCTCCTTCTCGTGTCAGTGATCATACAGCCACCTTCCACTTCTGTCCTTTCCCCAGCACACCAGTCGCCCAGCAGTAAGCATTTTTTCTTCTCACTCTAAAAGGTTTTGAACCATGCAATACCTGTAGTTACTGAGTTGTGGTGGTGATTTATTAAGTGAATGACCTGTTTATTTTCCTTAGTGGACTTTTTTCCCAAAGTGGAAATACTGTAATTATTTTTTTCTGATTGGGTATATGTAGTTTCTTACAATGTAAAAAAAGTTTAAATGATCAGAAATGTATAAAGCAGAAAATGAAATATGCCTGTATTAGTGCATTCCTATTACTTGTAAGAGAAATACCTGGAACTGGATGATCTGTAAGAAAACGAAATTTACTCCTTACAGTTTCAGAGGCTGGAAAGTCCAAAGTCCAGGGAACACGTTTGGTGAGGGTCTTCCTTATTGGTGGCTTCAGTGACATAGGAGTCTCACGTTGCAAGATGGTAGAAACAGAGAGAAAGACTCTCATGTGCTCTCCTTTTAAAGCCCTTACACCCACGCGCATGATCACCATTATTAATCCACTCATTAGGGCATAGTCTTCAGAATCTAATCACCTCTCCAAGGCCACACCTTTCAATTACCATAATAGGATTTCCCACCTTCTTAAGAATCACAGCAGGAATTAAATTTCAGTGAATTTGGGGCACCATTCAATCCACTGCATTCTACCCCATTCTACCCCTGGCTCCCCAAAACTCATGTCCTTTTCACATACAGTTACATTCATTTCATCACCAAAGTTTTAACTTCTTTCAACTCAGAAGTTAAAGTTCAAAGTCCTGTCTGTGAAATCAAAGCAAGTTATCTACTTCCAAGATACAATGGTGGAACAAACAAAGGGTACATATTCCCATTTGAAAAGGGAGAAATAGGCCAAAGGAGAAGGGTAACAGGTTCCAAACAAGTCCAAAACCCAGCAGGGTGTGCGTTGAATCTTAAAGCTGGCGAATCGTGCACCTGACTCCAGGTTGGATGTCCTCTGCACGCTGGTGTGGGGGTTGGGTCCCCAAGTCCTCAGGCAGCATTGCTTTATGGCTTTCCTGGTCTCAGGTGATGCTTAAGCTCTCCCAGGCTGGTGTCGCACGCTGGTAGCTCCACAAGTCTGGGGTCTCCTTGGCAGTGGTCCCACTTCCATGGCTCCACTAGGCATGGCCTTGGTGAGGTTTTTCTGCTGCAACTCTAACCCCACATTTCCTCTTGGCACTGCTCAAGCAATGGCTCTATGTAGTGACTCTGCCCCTGCAACAGATCTCTTCCTGGGCCCCCAGGGTTTTCCATACATCCTTTGAAATCAGGATGGAGGCTCCCAAGCCTCCACAGCTCTGGCATTCTACAAGCCTGAGATCTAACACCACGTGGACATTGCCAAGGGTTCTGGCTCGTATTTTCCAAAGCTGCAGGTCCAGCCACACCAAGGGCCAGTTTAGCCATGGCCGGAGCAGACAAAGCACCTGGGGTGCTGGTGTGGGGAGCAGCATCCCGAGGTGACCCTGGGCATTGAGCCCGTGGAAGGTGCCTCATGCCTGTTCCCCAAGATCATTCTGTCTTTCTAGACCTCTGGGCCTGTAATGGAGGATGCAACCTTGAAGATCACTGAAATACCTTCAAGGCCTTTTTTCCCTTCTCTTGATAATCCCTTTCTTCTGTAATAATCTTAGCAGTCACTGGGCTTCACCATTGAATTGTTCTCCTGAAAATGCTCTCTGCTTTTCTAGCACATGGCCAGGCTACAAATTTTCCAAGTCTTTAACTTTTCCTTTTAATTGTAAATTCTAGCTTTATGTTATGCCTTTGCCACCATTACTCAGCATTGGCTGTTGCAAGTAGCCATGGAGCTTCCTAAATGCTTTGCTGTGTAGAAATTTCTTCTCCCAAATACCCTCGTTCTGTTGTGAGGCTGCCACATGAAAAGGAACCAGAACACCCAATTGAGAATTTAAAAGGGGGTTTTTATTGGCCAGCCAGCAACTGTTCCTCCAAGAAAGCCTTGGAAGGAAGTAGCCCTGAGTTTAAGTTTAAGGGGTCTTTTAAAGGCACATAGTCACACAGGCAAAAAATCATATAGTTTTTTTTGGGGGGGGGACCAGTAAGGGGATTGCAACCCTTGGCACGGTGTGGTCTACACCACGCTCAGCCAGTGAGTGCACCGGCCATCCCTATATAGGATTCGAACCCGAGGCCTTGGCACTACCAGTGCCGCACTCTCCCAAGTGAGCCACGGGGCCGGCCCCAAAAGTCATATAGTTACATACATACATACATGCATATCCTCCTGGCATGAGGAGGGGGGTTGGGGAGGCCTAGCGCAAGCTCATAACAGAAGCTGAAAGAAGCCAGTTAATCACTCAGGGACGGCAAAAACTTTCACAGGGTGGTTTCCTCCTTAGGTTGTCTAGATACATCTGGATACAGCTCTTGGTGTTATCAGTCAGGGACAGCATAGGTGGGAAACAGCAAAGGCAGACAGAACTTAAAATTTTTCTAAGTACAGGACAATTTTTAACGTTCAATTTTCACCACAGGTGTTGGGGGGCTTTCAAAGAACAACACTTTTCAAACAGTAAAAATGGCATAAGCTAAATCAGTCTACCTCATCACAGTTCAGCATCTTTAAGTTCCACATTCCATAAAACTTTTGGGCATGAACAGAATGCAGTCAAGTTCCTTGCCAGTTCATAGCAAGGGTGACCTTTGCCTCAGTTTCCAGTAAGTCCCTTCTCATTTACATCTGAGATCTTCTCAGAGTGGCCCTTACTATACATATTTCTATCAGCATTCTGCTCACCACCATTTAACCAGGCTAAAACATTTTTTTTTTTTTTTCCTTTTTTCGTGTCCGGCAACTGATCGCAACCCTCAGTGTCGCGCCCGTACCGGACCGGGACCGGCAACGGGATCGCAACCCTCGGTGTTGCGCCCACACCTCGCTCAGCCAGTGAGCGGGAACCGGTCTGTATGTGGGATCCGAACCCTCGGCGGGAGCGCCCCCGCGCTCCCAAGCGGCACACTACAGCAGTGCGCCACCGGGCCGGCCCAGGCTAAAACATTTTAAACCTTCCCTGGTTTTCTTGTCTTCTAAACTCCCACCAGCAGCTAGGCTTTTTCAACCCTGCTCCTTCAAAATTCTTCCAGCCTTGGGCTGGCCCGGTGGCGCACTCGGTAGAGTGCAGCGCTTGGGAGCGCGGCGGCGCTCCCACCGAGGGTTCGGAGAGAGACCGGTCTGCTCACTGGTTGAGCGCGGTGCGGGCGTGACACCGAGGGTTGCGATCCCGTTACCGGTCACGGAAAAAGACAAAAAGAAAAAAAAAAAATTCTTCCAGCCTCTTCTCAACACCCAGTTCCAAAGCTGCTTCCACATTTTCAAGTATTTGTTATAAACAACACCCCACTTCTCTGGTACCAATTTTCAGAAGTCTGTTTCTGTTGCTTATAACAAAAATACCTAGAATTAGGTGATTTGTAAGAAAGCAAAATTCGTTGTATACAGTTTCAGAGTCTGGGAAGTCCAAAGTCCAGGGGATATATCTGGTGAGGGTCTTCCTTATTGGTGTCTTCAGTGATGCAGAGATTCTCGTGTGCTCTCTTTTTAAAGCCCTCAGAACCATGCCCATGACCACAATTATTAATCCATTCATTAGAGCATGGCCTTCAGAATCTAAGCACCTCTTCAAGGCCACACCTTTCAATTACCATAATAGGATTTCCCACTCTCAACGGTGACGGTGGAGATTAAACTTCAATGACTTTGGGGAGCCATTCAATCAACTGCAGTGCTTGTCCCAGCTACATCCATTACCCTGCCCATGCTGCCTACTAAAAACCAGTTAGAACTTGACTCCTGTGTAATCATGCTCAGTTACCTCTTGATTCTCTCCATTCTTGAATGAGTCTCTACTCTGAGATGGCCATATTTTTTTTTAGGGAAACTTTTCCTAACGTGGACTTTTTAACCTAACAAATTCTTAATTGTTTTAGGACTCATTTGACTGACATTTATCGAATTTCCTTTGTATATACTAAGTATGCTAGGCATTGGTGGTAACAATGCATAAGGCACCAAAGACTTGTACTCTTTCAAGGGAAACAAGAGTGAGTGCCTCCAACTAAACACATTGTGATGCATGTTATAAAATAAAATTAGTAAGAAGTAGGGACCTGGAGGAGAGTAATTCATTTTACTGTTTAATTCAGGGTTGTGATTCTACAGTTTTATTTTATTTTAATCACCCAGGATTTCTAGGGATATTTGCCTTTTATTGATTTGAATTTGCAACTTTTACATTTATTAGGTTTCCATAAAATTCGTTCTCTGTTTTATAAGTTGTGTAGGAGGAAATTGTGTAGTTGTGTGCAAGGTACGTGCATTTGTGTATTTAAGATTCTAACGAAAGTCAAGTCTCTCACCCTTTGGCTTCCTTGGCATAAGGATGTATCTGGTTTTCTGGATACATTTTCCACCTCCAGGAATAGCAGCCTGAATGTTGGCTATTTTTGCCTAAAGCATGTTACTCTCTTTGTTGAATTACGGGGTGAACCATGACTTTGTGCCTGTGTTATAGACATTTCGTATTTCAGTAATAAAGATCTCTTTTTGACTGCCACACCCTTCTATGGACTACAGTTCAAAAATCATTTCAGCTGCAGTTTTGAAATGCCCTTGACTTAAAGTGGAGTCTTTTGCCTGGATTCTGCGGTTTGAGTCTAAGACCGTTAATCTGAACAGCACAGTTGAGTAGCACAGGTTTTTTGTGGCAGGTATGTCAGTGAACAATGACTTGACATCGTCCCTCTTTTTTTTTCTTTCAGATAACAGTACTGAATTTTGGGACACAGATATAAAATGGTTTTCATTGTTGGAAAGTAGCAGCTGGCTTGACATAATCAGGTATTTCAAGTTTTGCTCTTGAATTTTTCAGTTGTTGAATACAAAGTCAGAGCAAATTGCCAAATATTCTTAGATATGTTCTATTCAGGGCTCAGCTGGATTTTACATTTGTTATTTACTATTTCTCTGCACATTTGGTAGGAATTTGTAAACGTTACTTGCTTACAAGGAGACATACTCTATAGAAGAGGCGTTGAAAGACTGCAAAAAAGGGCATAGCAACCCAAAGTTATAATTGAGGCAGCAGTGGTGGTCTCCAGGGAAGAAACTGAGGAATGAGAATGGGAAAGATCCTGACTTTTCATTGAGTATCTTTTTGAATTTTGTATATTACCTATTTAAAAAAATTTTTTTAATTGTGATTATTGTTTATTAGTCATTTTTGGTTTTGGAGTTAGGTTGAGAGCTCCAGAGAACAGAGTTATATTACCCTTCCTACTTCATATATTGAGTTGTTCCTCTCTGTTGCTATTAAATAGAGGATATGGCAAAGGAACGTACAAAGCAGGAATGATGGTCTGGGGTGAGAGAATAGCTCCTACCTAGGCTACATTTAAGGAAAGAGAGAAACACTTCCTTCTACCTTGCACAACATTCTCCATCAGTTCTGCAGTGAGTATTGTGGACAGGGACCTCAGCCCTCCTGACACTTCACAAGTGTGCTTTGAAGAGCCTGCTACATGCCACATAATTTGAATATATATAGTATATAGATATATATAACTGAATATTATATATATAATAAATATGAATATATACATATAAACTATATTATATTATATATATTATATCTATATTAAATTATAAATATATATAATATATTATATTATATATTATATAAATATATATAATAAATTAAATATATATTATATATATAAATTAAAACTATATTATATTATATATATTATATCTATATTAAATTATAAATATATATAATATATTATATATTATATAAATATATATAATAAATTAAATATATATTATATATATAAATTAAATATATTATATTATAAATTATATATATAATTGCAAATGGTGGTAACTGCTGTAAAAGAAAAGAGCCCTTCTTTATGTGGGTTGGGCAGAGAAGGGTGAGCATCCCTAACCAGATGGAAGGTCGGAGTGTGGGGAATGAGGCTTGCAAGGAAGCAAGCAGAGGACAGCATGTGTGAAGGTTCCTAGTTGTAAGGGACAAGTCAAAGCTGGAGATAGTGGCAACTGTCTCAAGGGAGTGATGTGTGTAGAGAGAGACAAAATGGACTCCTGAGTGTATTGGGTCTTTTCAGCCACACCGAAACATTCGATCATAAAGCGATGTGGACATGTATCACGTTCTCCAGGTGTGCAGATTTAGGGATCCTGCTAGGACTCACCAGCAGACTCAGGTATGAGTTTTCAAGAAGAATTTCTAGTTTAGAAATAACTTAGGAGCATTTTCACATCAATTTTGGGGTTCTCTTCTGAAATTTTTTAGTTTCTAATAAGCAGATGAGTATCTCCCAGTATCTGAATAGTGTAAAGGATAATTAGTTTCTTTGTTGGAAGATTTTAGCCTGAAAGAATAAGTGAGATAGAAAACTAAAGATGAATTCAGATTATCTCTAAACTTCTTCTTGTTTACAGTACCAAGCTCAAGAACTAATGCCTCTTTCTCTTATCTCTTTCCTATTTAGACGTTGCCTAAAAAAAGCAATAGAGATTACAGAATGCCTAGAAGCACAAAACATGAACGTTCTTCTTTTAGGTAATATATTTAAAGCACAAAGGATGGCTTCCATTTTCCTTCACTTGGCAGTTCAGTTTTTGTAGCTTTATGTAATTGGCATTGTCTCATAAAAGGAGTGAGCTAATGTGGAAATCTTTCCCATTCCTTTCTCCCTGACCTTGGAATCCTTTGCTTTGGATTTCAGTGTTACAGCTTAAAAAAAATTCTTTCACTTGGAACTTGCAGACCTATTTGCAATCCCAGAAGTAATTGTTTGGTATCTTTACCATAGCGCACATGTCTTAATGTTTTGGATTTTGTTTTATATTAACTCAGGTTCATTAAGGTTAAAATCTTTTGGTAATCGCTTTTATATAAAGAGAGACATAGATGATTTAATTGTTATTTTTGTATCTTTGTGTTTGACAACTTTGTGTCCTTGCCATAGAAACTTGGTGATTTGTGATCTCCTTTTCCTCAGTGGCCTTAGCTTGTTATACGTGAGGGCAGTGACATAAACATTCAGAATGTGTAAAGCAGGTGTAAACCACCATGCAACAAAGATTGTTGCTGTAACTGTTTAGATATGAACTAAAACATCACCTGCTCTTCAGAAATATTTTATTTCTTAGAGCCCCCCACTACAGATTAAGTAGATTATTTCATGCTTTTATACCTCCAACTTTTATCACTTCTCTGATGCTCTCCATGACTGTTGGGCTTCAGGTTCAAAGAGCAGACTGGAAAACGTGGCTCCTGTCCATCTGGTACTGGCTCACTGACTTAGATTTGAATACATTTTTGAGCACTTGCCACGTACAAAGCTCTGTACTTCTGCCTTCTGGAAGTTTATATCCTAATGGCATCCTGAGGAGAGAGTTGCCCTAAGTATGTTATTGAAAGAGACCTAACCAACCATGAAAGAACAGGGCATTATTTGAGTACTATGTAACTGGTGAAAAGGAAGAGGGATGAAGATTGGGGGTCTGAGAGATGGAAGAACCAAGGGCCAGACTGCATCAAATTTATGCATTTATCTTGTGCACAGAGTTGCATAAAATGAAATCCCAACCTTTGGCTGATGGAACTGAGATGTTCCCCACTCCTAGATGTACTACTGAGTTGTCTCTCCTCTGAAATCTCATTTCCTAGCCCCTTTTCCCATCACCCATAGGTATACTGTTAACATGCTTCAGGTGCAAGAACAAAGATCCCCTTAAAAATGAAACTTGTGGGCCGGCCCGGTGGTGCACTGCTACAGTGCGCCGCTTGGGAGCGCGGCGGCGCTCC